TCAGCACAATGAAACACGGCCATCTGAACATCCATCGGGTGAATTGGGTCTGTGTTGCTCTTACTTTCATCAGACAAAGAAGATCTTTCAAAAATGTCACTAAATGCATCAACATTTTCTGCAGATGATTGTATGGATTTTTGTTGATTTTCTTTGTGATGCTCACTGTTCCTTGTAACAGTGATACTTCTTACTTTATAGTTCATCATCAGTAGTTTCTGTAAAAACATGTGAACCAGTTCTTTCTCAGTGCAGGATCCATGGAACTGTAATGAATGTGCAGTTATCTGAAGAACATCTGAAGCTCTTAGTTTGTCGTTGAACTTGGCAACAAGTTGAAGTCTGTGAAAAAGTTCTTCTACTTTTGTTCCAAGGTCTTTGGCTGTTTTGGCCTGTAAAATAAGCATCACTGCTAATTAAATTCATTTTTCTAATAAGATTTTTTTCTGCAAACAGATTTGCAGGCACCATATAGCTTTTTCCATCAATCAGACATTATCAAGAACTTATACTTGTATTTTTTAAAACAGATGAAATTCATAGGTATAGCTGTGCAACTATATGGCCTGTACATTTTTGAATATACTCCACTTAAATTCTCTCATAACTGAATTATATAATGAGAATTTAGCAAATATTTTTGAATGACTCAACAGACAGAAACTTGAATGACTGCTGTTTTCAACACCTGCACCCTTTATCACTCTGAAACTTTTGTTGTGGTGGCAGTTACTGGCAGGAATAGAGCAATAGGGCATAAGCAATTCACAAATCTGGTTTTTGCTTTGTCATGAGTGTGGAATGATGTGAAAAGAAAGTTTAGCATAAGGCTGCAACAATTCAAAATGTGTACATTTTCCCACCAATCACGTTTATAGATTGATAGATAAATTGACACTAGTCTTTATTCATGGTGTTCTTGTAGCATGTCTAGAACATGGTGATTGCGAATGAAAAGGTTGTGAGTTTGATTCCCAGGGAAATAAATCTCCTGCAAATGGATCCCAAACCCATATAGCCAAGTGTTTCCAGTTATTCTGGTTTCTTTACACTTCACACAGCACTTACCCTCTGTCTTTCTTTTTCGCTTTCTCTCTCTCTTTTTTTT